AACCTCAGGCCTTTAATGACTATCACGACCCTCACGACCCTCACGAGTGTCGCGAATGTCACGACTTTCGCGACCGTCATGACCATCACGACCCTCATAATTCCCACGACTCTCACATCCCCACGAGTCTCACCGTTGTCATGACCTCGACGCAACTTACGATCGGCACACTTGCAAGGTCTCTCTGCACCCGCCGATGTCGCATTTCTCCCGAGTCTCACAAGTCTCATGGCCATGGAGAAGCTTGCCATCAACACGTCTCTCGAGAGGGTCAAAGTCCGCATACAACAGCCGTCGAAGCACACGACAAAGTGACAGATGCAATGCCGCGGAAGAGGTGTGGTGTAGGTGGCCAAAAGAAAGAGAAGGGCATCTAGGACAAGGACGCAGTATTGGAAAGAAGGAATGGAGAGATGCAAGATAGACGAAAAGAAAGAGAATGGCAAAGCCTCCAAGGCGGAGGCGATGTGTGCGGAGGGTTTTGTGGAGGATAACATGGATGCTTTAGTGGAGGAGGTGGAGTGTTTCGTGGAGGATATGTGGATGCCTTAGGGGAGGAGGTGGAGTGTTTGGTGGAGAGATTTCTGGAGGACTCGTAGGAGGGCTCGTACGGAGGAGCAGACGAAGAAGGGAAGCAGTCAGGTACTGCAGGGCCAGGTGAATCTAGCGCTCGAACGGGCAACCAAGACGCCGATGTGGAAGTCGACATGATGGTAAGCTAAGCTCTTCAAAGCTCTTCTGCAGCATGAAGCAGCCCTGAAATAAGCAAGCACAAGCTGGTTGTTCACCATTGTGGGCGCACTCACCAAAGCCCTCACCCAAGAGGCTGTGCTCTATTGAGCTGACACAAAGCAGTCACTGAGCTTTGCTCTGTGAACTTAGCTCCACTGGACTGTGCTTCAAACAGGCTCAGTGTCCACCACTCTAAGTCAAGTCTGCAGTTGTAGCCTCTGCGGCCCCACCCAAATCCACTGTTGTCCTGCTTTTAATCTAGTCCCCAAGGTCTGCAAGCAGCACAGTCTTGCGTGCAGACGTCACAGGCAGGTCATCAAGGTCAAGCAGAGCATTGAGCACTAAGAACCGCTAAGAAGAGCACAGAAAACGCAGAACAATGCTCTTGGCTTGCTGCTCCACACTGCCATCAAAGCTAGAAAACCGGGAGACAGATGCAGGGAGCAACAAACAATGTGACTCTACAACAGCTCATCGCACCTTATCTTGCTCATCTATCAGCACCCCCGATGAGCTTGCAGCCGCGCACGGCAAATGTGCGACCAAGACATGGAGCTCCTGCAGCACGTGCAGGAATGCACCCTTGATATAAGGAGAGCATCAAAACTTCTCGAGAAGAGGTCAGCACAACTTCAGGAGACCATTGAAGAGTGCCCCCTTGATGTCAAGCAAAGCATCGCAACCTGGTCTCAACCTCGAGGATACCTACACAGGTCGTTGCAGGTCACAACAACAGCGACATGCCCACCACCACTCACAGCAACATTGTGTAGAGGTTGCTAATTACTTGCCCTTCTGATGGGTCCATTGCAGGACATCTGCATTCAGGACTGACCCGCGCCTGAACAATCAGGATCACTGGCCTAGGACAGAAGCTCCTTCAACTGCTCCAGAGGCTACATCGGCGTCATCACGCAACAGACCTGCATTGTTTCCAGCCACAGGCACAGATGATCCCATTTTGGATCCCAGATCATTGTCGAGATCTGCTCCCAAAATGACTCGCATGCATGTAGAGCATGTATGAGGCTCTCAAACGTGATTCCATGGAGGACAGCCCAGGTGAGCAGCCGCAAGCCAGCCCAGCAACCTGTAGGCAGCTGCCCAGTCTCTGGCAAGACTGACACTTCCAGATTTGCCAGCTTTGCCGGCGTTGCCTTTGAGGCACCTTTCAGGTTGACCTTGCAACTCTCCATGTCCAGCAGGGGACCAAAGACCATCGAAGAAAGTCGACCCTTTGGGTAGCGCTCGCACGGTACAAAGCGCAGGTCCGGGTCGTAACAAGGAATAGCGCTTGGTCGCTTTGGCAAAGGTTTTGACTGGCATAGACAGAAGTTGTTGGTCAGTGTGAGCAGCAGTGGTCAGCACGTAGACAGCGTTTGCTCACCTCAAAGGTCTCCTTGCTGATTTTTGCTTGGCGTTTCTTCTGCACAGCCAAGGAGCCGAGAGGAGCGCCTTGCATGCTTGCGAGAGCCGCTCCTTCCGTCTGGCAGGTGCGCATCATTACAAGCGGAGATTGTCTGCTGTCACCGATCATTGTACCCGCAACTTTGATCTGCATCAGAGTCTTGTTGCCAGCACTGTTGTTGGCGACTGCTGCACACTTTGTTGGCGTTGCCATTACCAGTCCCGGAAGCTTGATGGTCGCTGAGGTCGAGGCTGAGGGGCTAGTAATGGTGGTGTGCAAAGGGGTTGCAGACCCCATGCTGCCGGCGACCTTGACGGGGGTGGACGTCTCGCCGGTGGTGTTGCTCAGCATGGTGCTTGCTGAGGCACGGTGAGACGCCGCTCCGCCACCAGCAGCATCTTTTGGCAGCGAAGGTCGGAAAGCCTGACCAGGCTTCTTGACCGGGATGCGCGTTGGCATGGTCGCCGAGTCGCGCTTGCTACTAGGAGTAGCGCAGGGTACAGCGGCGCTGCCATCGTTGACAGCATTCAGGTCGCTGACCTTCGTGGCCTTACTGGCCGTTTTGACTGGAATGCGCGAAGGCGTGATCGCCTGATCGCGCTTGGCATTGTCTGCCGTGAGCTTGGCAGATGAGCCAGCAGGAGCGGCACGCATGCCGGGAGCATCTTTGCTCGGGTAGTTGATCTTGGCCTTGATCTCGGCAGGCGAGAGGCGCAAGAATGGTGGAGGTGGCCTGACTGGCCGCTTTGATTGGAATGCGCGAAGGCATGATCGCCTGATCGCGCTTGGCATTGGTGATTGTGTGCCGTGAGCTTTGGAGATGCACAGGCAGCAGGTGCGCAGGCAGCAGCAGCACGTTTGCTTGCAGCAAGCATTCTTTATGGGGTAGCCAACCTTGAGGGCCTCAATGTGGGTAGGCAGCAAAGCGCTACTCAGATGGAAGAGGCTGAGCAGCCAATCAATGACAAAGCTGAGAAGGGCATGGTGAAAGCCGAAGGCTGGCAACAGCAGGCGCGCCACTTTAGCTTGATGGTTGCCCTCAACCTCAATCGATGCCTCACTGTCCTCTTGCTGCTCTCTAGTCTGGCAATATTTCCAGGAGCCAAGTCAGCGGATTTGTCCATCTCAGCTCGGCTCATGCCCCTCAAACTATTCGCCTCAAAGCGTCCGCGTTCTGGTCTTCCCTCATCAGATCATTTGGCACCAAGATGCTTGAGTGCTTGTCATGAGATTGTGGGAAACAAGACCTTTGTCATCACCAGAGCCAGCCATCTGCCCTGGGATGTTGTGGACAGTGTGTGTGGAACGGGGTACTTGGCAACCGGCTGTGAAACTCTGCGCTCATTGGCAGCATGTTGAGTAAAGTCTCCTGCTTGGCTCCAAAGATCAAGCTCACAGCACTGCCCAAAGGCTGTTGCGCCTGCGCAAAGTTCTTGATAAAAGGTGAAGAAGGCTTCCCTGTTCTCACTCTGGCCAGTTCAAGCAGCGAAGATTTGCTAAGTGGGTATGCAGCCTGCTAGTCAGAAGGTCACCCTGCATGAGCATGAGGAAATCTGGTCAGGTTTCTGGGAAAGAAGTTCAAGCCTATCCACCCTCCAAACGGGGCCATCACTGCTTAATGCACTCAAAGGCACGCTACCACAGCATCAGTCACCAAGAACCAAATGCTTCTGCAGTGCCCCATGGAGCACAAGAGCTTGGACTGAGTCAGGCAAGACCGCTGTTGATCAAGCATTGCGTCCTCGCCTGTCCCAAGAAGACCGCTAGCACTTTGCTGAGCTTCCCACTCTCAACTGCACAAAGGTGGCTGTGGGCTTTGCTGCTGCGTGGTCAGCTGGCAATTGACAATGTTTGAGCAGAGCAATGGGGCTTGAAGTGGGAACAGACATCAAACAATACATGATAGCAGCAAGAGACACAGCTGCAAGTTGAATCAGCAATCCTTTACAGGGTAAGGAGTCAACAATCTTCTGAAGGGCTACACCCGCAGCCATAGAGCTGGTGATAATGCTGCTATGCCCACCTGGGTGCCACTAGGTGACAAGGGGGCATTGCATGCAGGATTCTTGATGAATCATTTGGCTTCCCCACCAATTCTGCTGCCTTGCACAACATTGTTGTCAACCGGCCCCACTCAGACTATTCAACAGCCGGCAAGGGTTTGTGTATGTGGTCCCATGTTGTCAAAGCTCCTGTGGTGAAGGCTTTGTAGGTGTGTGGCAATGACCCACACAATGGCAGGTGCAAAGAAGTACTCTTGCTCCTGTTGTTGGCTGACACTGTGGGTGCATGCACAAGCAGTATGCATTGGAGTCCTGGCAGCAAGCCCAATCAGCTAGGTTGTGTGCGATGAGCGGCGCTTCTTTTGCAGTGCACCTCGTGCAGCTGCCATACGCGTCCAACTCTGTCAAGCTGCCGCCTTCGCCCATGCAGAGCCAAGTCATTGCAAGCCGTCTCTGCTGGAGTTGACAAGCGCCCTATCTTGTGCGCAGAAGCACCAGAATTGCAGCAACCAACGCACCAGCTTGCTGTCACCACAATTGAGCCTCTCAACTCCCCTCGGGCGTCTCAGCACCCGCAAGAAAAGCACAAAGAGCGTACACGTCCTTGTGGCTTGGTCCGTGCTCAGATCGACATTCTTTGCTGCTTGATGTATTTTTACGGCAGAAAACGAGCACAAACAAGGCCCGCAAGCTTCGCTCCGTCTTGCACTGACTGGCACGGACAGCCATTCCATGTCTACATTGTCATTCTTTTCATTATGTATTACATCAACGATCGTGAAATCAAACAGCACCTACACCAGCACCGCCTGCGGTAGAATGGGCCTTCGCGCTTTGTCCTACTCTTTTGCGTGCCTTCGGGGCAAACGTATGTTAAGATGGCGCACCAGGGCTTCTCTCGACCTTCTTGCCCCCAAGTTCTCGCAAACATTCTCCAGACGAAGGGCTCGCAGCTCGGTGGATGAGAAGGGGAGGCAGCGAGAGACTTGCGATATATTCAATACAGTCGAAGCTAGTCTAGTCGAGTACAAGCGGGTAGTCGGACACATGTGATCACGGGTCGGAAGCTTGAGCATCGGTCGCGACCCATTCGTGAGCTGCTGCGCACACCGTGCTCCTAGCTTCTTGCCTTACTCACAAGAGAGTCTCGCGATTTCTCAAGCACGATGAGGAGATACAGACCGGCGAGAGCGCACCTGCCAACACTGCCATCTCTTCCCATGCGCGTAGACATCGTCGGGGCGGGCCGGCCTGACTTGCCCCGTTCAGCTTGTTGATTTCGCGATTCGAAGTGCTGCAGCTCTACTCGACAGCTTTCCACAATTGCTCGGCGGTCCAGAATGGTGTTTGACCAGTCTCGCGCAAGTAGGCTTCGTCGACTCTGTGCAGAGTGGTGCGCTTCCTGGACGCTGGTACGCAATTGAGGGATTTGAAAGGTGCGGTGGGCGCTGTCTTGGTCTGATCGCTAGCATATATCGGGTGGAATCCGACTTTGCGGTAGATAGAGAGCAGAAGTCTGTGTATGAGACAGTAGGAGAGGTCCGAGCAGATGGTGAGTACCTCGAAGCCCAACAACGAGACGCGACACCACCGAGGATTCCCTACTCACCCTTGCCTGTCAAATTCTCCGCGCTCCAGGGGCTTGCCGCGATTCAGTTCCTCCTCCTCATCTCTCGCCTCGACCAGTCTAGCCTGCACACCATCCCTTCGGTTTTCAGCTTCCGTAATCTTTTTCAGGTGATCAAACTTCTTGCCCTCGAGCTTGTCCATCTCAGCCAAGTGCAAGGCCTTTGACCTCCAGTCGGATGCACCACGTGTTGTCTGAGAGCGCAACTTTGTCAATTGCGTCTTGAGCTCTACGTAGAGAGTATGGTGCATGTGATGAATGTCAGCTTGATGTGCGGTTCGGCGGTGCGACAACGTGTGTGCGAAGCCGACGCCCCGCAGATGTGCTTTCGCTACTCACCGGCATCCTCTTGCTCCAACTGACCCAGCTTGTCCAACTTGCTCTCCGTCCTCGAGTCCAGCTTGGTCAGCAGCTGCTCAAACTTCTCCACGTCACCACGAGGATCTGTCAAGTACGTGTTCATCGCCAGTATAATTCCGCTGTGTGCCGGTCATCGTGTGGGTGCCACAGGCGAAAGATCAGATTTTGTGTAAGCTGACCGCAAGAGAGCATTCTGTCCGGTGGCTGAGCTGCACTCACGGAGCTTCAGCTTGATCAGGCTCTCCACTGCCCCAAGTAGAGAGGCCTCCCACATCCTCTGCATCGCCTTCCATCTGCGCATCCACCTCTGCCTCAGAATCGTCCTTCCGGTCCACGCTTTGTCGATCGCGAGCAGCGGGGTGGGATGAGCGAGCTGCGGAGTGAGCTTGAGATCGGCGCGCTTCTTTGCGAGGTGACGCGCTCGAAGCGGCTGAGCGTCTCGTGGACATCGCGAGAGGTTGAAAGAGACTGGGGTGGCTGTGCACGTAAAGTAGAAGTAAAGCAGAAGGTGGCAGCGGTCAGTGGATGGACAAGCCTTACGACACGGGCGGTGGAGATGTGGCTACGCGCAGGTAGGCGAAGATGATGGTGGCAGCAAGGCGGTGCAAATAGGAAATGAGCTCTGCTACTTTCCCCGCAACGCACGAGCAGCCAGCCAAAGGATGCTGGATGGATGTTGATCCTGCCCCTCGCTGCAGCGTCATGCTGCACCACGCTGCGCTGCTCAAGCATCTGCAACGCGTGTGCGCAAGCGCGCGCGTAATGATTGAAGACCAACACGCGCTGCATCACGTGATGTCTCTGATGGTTCTTGGCGCACCTTTCCTCTGATCTGTCAACACCTTCCCACCTGCTGTCGACCTCAATTGGCTGTGCTTTGCTGAGCCCTGTCGCAGCGCTCAGAACAGCTGATGACACGGAAGCTGTTGACAACCGCACCTTTCTCCCGCACACCTGCCCACGCAACGCCGACCCACGCAACGCCGATTCACGCTCCGCCACGAAGCAGACAGGCTGCCTTCCAGAGCGCATGCCCGTACTCAGTGTATTGCGTCGACTGCGTGGAGTCAAGTAAGAGCAAGAGACTGCTAGGCATCGTTCAAGGTGAAATCATGATGGGTGATTCATCGCGATTGCGAAAAACTCGCGATAGGACCACAAAAGAACGAAGAAGTGCCGGCCTGCGCGGTTCGCGCCAGAGTCCGCTCCATAGCATCCGATAGCTCAGGCGGTGATGCAAAGAGCACTGTGAGCCCCAAGTGAATCCAACAAAGGAGTGAGTAACGAGTCTGCTGTTGAGACTTGATGCTGAAGCGGCGAACACCAATTGATGGCGATGGGATCTGTGAAGGATGGTAGATCAGTGATTGCGGCTGAGCACATAGGTAGGCTTGCAGCACAAAGGACCGACCACGCAGGCGCGGCCAGCAGGATGGCCGTGCGTGATGCTTGCATGCGCCGGCAGGAGCAGTTCTACCGAACAGCACCAACCTGCAACGCGTCCACGACCTTTCTTCATAAAGCGGTCGAGCTACAATCTGCCTTGGCTTTCCCAACACATACCTTAGGCTTTCGTGCTTACCAAATGCTCATCCTCCTCTCGCCCGCCATCATCATCCTGCACATTACTTAGCTTCGCCTGGTGATCAAGGGCCTCACGCGTACAGCAATCTTCATCCTGGCTCTGGCTAGGCAATGCACCTGCTCCAGAGCCCCTACACTCGCACAGCTCTTGCACAGGCTCGAATCGCTTTCATCTGCGATGCTCCACCACCATCATGGGTGTACACGACTCGACCCAGGCGTACGTACTGCGACGTCTCCGGGACCCGCGAAGCAGGTGCACCGATCTGCTCCGGTGCCAATGCGAGCTCTCGAGCTCCTGGCACGAGCCTTCCCACCCTCCCGACTGTGAGAAGAAGCACCGCAGCAAGACAGCCTTTCTTCGTTACGCCTCGCCAGAACGCGCGCCCCAGGTCTTTCTCGGCGCTGAGCATCGCTCTGGACGGCTCGAAAAGGGAGCAGAAAGCATATGCTGATCTACCCATATCCAACGAAGCTGCTCTACCTCCCTGGCAGCCCGTGGGGGAGAAGAGACGGCCAGGCAGAAAGAAAGGGAAGGGAATGGGTGGTGGCGCGGCATCAGAAGAGCTTTCAGCTTCTGCTGCGCATGGCTCTGAGCCAGGAAACCCAAAAGGCAACAGGGGCGCCAAGAAGAAGAAGAAGGCATGTAGAGGCGAGGCTAGGAACTCGAGCGAGGGTGCTGGCTTGCAGCAGGACCAATCGAGTCAGGCATCATCGGAGGCGACCTTCAATCGATATGATCGTGAGTGCTCAGATTGGTAGCAGGATCAGCCAGGACTTGGTCAGAGCTGATGGAACATGGATGCCCACCAAAACAGCTCGAGATGAAACATTACCGAATTTGGCAAGAAGCATCTTGGCGGATATGCAGCGCTTTCCTGGCTGTATGCTGCTCACCCGTGTCGGAGGCTTTTATGAGGTGTGTGCTGCCCACATATACTTGCTTAAAAAGCAGCCTTCAAATAACGTCTCGATGTCCACAGTCATACTTCGATCAAGCCCCGCAACTTTCCAACATGCTGGGCATCAAACTAGCACAAAGGTTGTGGGGTGGACGAACAATAGCAATGGCTGGTTTCCCGATCCATCAACTTGAAAAGTACTTGAAAATTCTGGTCCAGGATCACCACAAACTAGTAGCCATATGCGACGAATTCAAGAGCATCACAAGCCAAGTTGGAGGTAAGCAGGCTGCTACTTTGACCATGGATATTCAACGCAGAGTTACTCGCGTCATCAGCCCTGGAACTTTGATTGATGAACGGTTTCTGGACCCCTTCAAAAGCAACTGGGTTGTCGCTGTCTCGTCTCGAAAGGGCGGGCCTCATCTCGCGAGTCCAAAGGACCAGTGTGCCACAAATGGCATTTCACAAGACGCTTATGGTCTCGCTTGGGTCGACATCAGCACCGCCGACTTTTTCACCACTACGTGCGCTGATGGAGAAAGTCTGAGGGATGAGTTGGCGCGTATAGGCCCTTCTGAAGTAGTCCTCGAAAGTGGAGCTTTCGACAAAGGTCTCTTGGATCCCTCTAGAGCAAGCGCGCGCGATGCGACGCTCAACCAGCTCGGTGATCCAATAGATCCCCTACCTCATCCCATTTGGGAGGCTCTCAACCCGCATATGGTCCACATTTCGCTCTGCGGTGCTCCGAAACACTCGCACGATGATGACGTAGAAGCCCGCGCAGTTCTGCAGCTTACCGATCATCTCAGAGGACGCTTGATCAGTCACGGAGATGGGGTAGAGGCGTTGGCCAAAGAAGGTCCAACGCATCGAGCTAGAGAAGAAACGATGCTCATCGATGCAAACACGCTTGCCGCTTTGGAAATCAAACAGAGCATGAGGGAGAACGGAAGCGTCAGGGGCAGCTTGTTGTCTACTGTTCGACGGACGGTCACCAAAGGTGGCACCCGCTTACTGGGACAGTGGCTTAGTAAGTGGTCTGAAAGGCGCTTGCCATTTGTCTAATGTAGACATTCTCACCATGAACGAGCCTTTTTGGTCTCCTCCGCGCAGCCTCGCCAAGCACATCTCTCGATCTCATCAAACGTCGTCAATCAATCGTGGCCTTCTTTGTCAATCGACCTTACTTGCGAGAAGACCTTCGTGCGCTATTGCGGCGAGGAGCTGGCGATGTCTCGCGTGGACTGCAGCGGATCACGACCGGTCGCAACGACGAGCAAGATCTTTTGGAAGTTCGCGACTTCATCGTCATGACTCAGGATCTGCTATCTCTGTTGGAGAAAGAGATGGCCCAGCTCCGACAAGCGCAGCAGGTGACTCAAGACGACGTGTTGGTTGCAGGCTTGGAAAATCTAGATTTGATGAGGGAGCGCTTCAAGAATCTGGAAGGGCTGGGAGCTCGCTTGGTCGAGGCAATGGACGAAGCGGTGCTCGAACAGCGTCTCAGGAGGCAGGAGGCGCTCGCTCGTGAGGTCGAAGAGAGCTTGCTGGATGACGGAGCGCGCGGCGAGATATCGAATGGCGCCGTCACGGTGAGAAAGAAAAAAGGCAAGCAGCCCGGCGAGCAGGACGATGGTGAAAATTCGGACGGTTGGGGAGACCCTTTTGAGCACCTGATTCGGCCCACGTGAGCAGTCACAGCCGATTTCTGACCACTGGACGAGAGATGAACTGACAGCAGGACTGCCACATCTGATCAGCTCATCGCATCAGCTTCAAGTGACGACCGAAAAGTACCAAGCGACTAGACAAGCGGCATCAAAACTTCAACGACACCTGCAGGAGCGTTATCACGATCGAGTGACGCTCAGAAATATTGTGTCTCAAGGCTACGTGGTACACTTCACAGGAGCAGATCGGATGGGCAACCTCAAGATGCGCAACAATCCCGAGGACGAGATGACGGCTGGACAAAAGCTGAAGACCACGCAAACTTGGTATCATCCTGATTGGAGCCGGATCGGTGCAGAGCTAATGCGGAGTGAAGCCGAGATCAAGAAGTTAGAGAATTTGGAATTGGTTCGCCTCCGTCAGGACGTGTTGGGACAGCTCACATCAATACGTCGCAATGTACGACTGGTGGACGAGCTGGACGTCCTACTGGGCTTTGCGCAGCTGGCTCACGACAATGATCTGGTCAGACCCGAGTTGGATGATTCGTCGGACCTGCACGTGGTCGGAGGACGGCATTTGAGCGTAGAGATGGGGCTCTTGGAGCAACACAGGATGTTCCAACCCAACGATGTCACCCTCTCGCCCACCTCGCGCTTGCACGTTATCACCGGGCCCAACATGGGAGGCAAAAGCACATACTTGCGACATGCGGCTTTGATCGCCATCCTTGCCCAGTGTGGCTCATTTGTCCCAGCCAAATTCGTCAAGCAAGGAATCGTGGATCGCGTCTTCAGTCGCGTCGGAGCTAGGGACGACGTGTCTCGCGACCGCTCCACCTTCATGGTGGAGATGAGCGAAACGAGCGAGATACTGCGACGAGCAACGAGCAAGTCTTTGGTCATTGCCGATGAGATCGGAAGGGGAACGACTACGGAAGTCGGCATTGCTATTGCTTTTGCTACCTTACATCATCTATACGAAGTCAACAGGTCGCGAACTCTATTTGCCACGCATCTACACGAGCTTGCGGACATGCTTGGATGGAGCAAAGGTCGTGAGACGGCAAGTCGCGTCGGTGGCCGCTTTCCTCACGTGGACTTTTTTTGCACCGATGTGGACGTCCTAGAGGTGAGTTTTGGAGCTCAAATGCTTTGCAGAAATGCCCAAGTATGGTTCGCTGATGCATTCCACCTTAACCTTGATTTGGCAGGACGGCGCCATCTCCTTCTCCCACAAGCTCCGACCTGGGGTTAATCGCGATTCGCATGGATTGCAGGTCGCGCAATTGGCAGAGATGCCACCACAGGCTCTCCGAGTCGCGCACGCAACTCTTCAATGGCTAGAGAGTGCTGAAACTCTAGCAGAACAAGGCTCCGTCGAGAGCGATATTGTTGCCCTTGCCGTCGAGCCTTCATCTATGTCTGCTGCCAAAGTCCAAGATCTCGATCGCTTGATAGCAGCGGCGATCGGTACCAGCGTCGAGGTGAAGTGAGTATTGCACTAGTCCGTGGTTGCCGTCGCCTGGTCGGACATCGTCGAGAATCTCCCAAGAGGACAGCCTGATTCGTGTACACATATCCCCTGCTGCAAGCGCTACCATTCAAAACATCAGATCTTTGCACGACCTCGGACTATGAATGTACCGCTTCCGGCTCCGTGCTGCTCCTGAGCGTCCCAGCCTTCTCTCTCCAGCATCCTCTTGATGCCCGGCCTAAGTATTGGCGTTCTGTTTACACTGTGGTTGCCGACTCCAGTGATGATCTTCAGGCCTCTCTTCTGAGTGGTGCCATCGGCCCTCTTCTGTACGAAATCGTTGGAGGCGTTCCATTCTTGCAGGGCTTTGCGGGTGACGTCCAGCGCTTCGTGAAGCGATAGCATGTGGAGGTCTATTTCGTCCTCGATCCCAACTCCCGTAGACAAGGCACCATACCCTGATACGTCTTGGGCTCTCTTGGTCTTGCGTTCGGAGATGAGCTCGTGCGCTGCTCGCATGTTCCATATTCTGGCTTTCGCCTCCAGCTCCCTCGCCGTGTCAGCATAGTACCACGCAGCAGCAGGCCCAACTCGTCTGTACGTTGAGCTCGCTTTTCTCAAGGCTTCCTCTCGCTGCAGTCGATAGTTGGCTGCAATGTCTCTGCACTCCGTGGATGAATAAGCGCCCTTGTTGGCTGGCGCGTTAGACGAGCCGCCAACAGATGTGGTGGAGGCTGGCGTGTTGCTCGCGGGAAGGAAAGCCGTCGAACCGCGCAAGGTTCCTAGCTTGGTCTTGACGCTGGAGGCGCCGCTCTGCGCAGGCTTGAAGATGGGAGGCACGAGCTTGTGAGAGCTTGAGGTGGCCTCGTGCGTTGCTAGCCCGCTCATGAGCTCTAGGAGGTCGATCGCTGAATCTTGCCGACCTTTCGTCGCTCTGAAGGCCAGCTCCGCTTCCGGCAAGGTGCATGTGCGGATCACTGCGATACTCTCCACCATATGTTGGGCCGTCCCGGGTGGTGCACCGCCCGATTCGTCCAGCCCCGATAGCGTGATTTTGCCTGCTTCCGACTCCACCACCTCGGTGGCTGCGGATGAGAGATCTCTGGATCGATGTCGCAAGGCTTTCTGGACCGATTCGTCTGGTAGGTCCAACAGCAACGATAACTGAGCTTGAACGGATGAAGTGAGTACCCAAGTATTGTCGACAAGGGACGAGCCAGAGACGGTAACGGGTCCTTCCATACTTGTAAGCCCCGAGCCATTTGCCTGTCTTTTCTTAGCAGACTTCTTCTGCTTCGATTGCCCACCTAATTCATTCCAATCTTTCCGTTGCACACTCTCGGCTTGTTGTTCGAGTCTCAACTCGTCAATAGGCTCTGCCAACAAAGCCTCAACCGCAGCCTCGACATCGCCATGAGTCCTTCTGAGCGCTTCCTTGAGAGCCTCCTCCGAGTGTTCTGGCAAAGCGTGCCGCAGAAAGTCTCTCGCATCCACGGCTACAGTGCTGCTTGTGGAGAATGAAGCGATGGAGCTGTCGTCTGACCTTGCCTCGCCTCCTGAGCGTCCAAAGGGCTTTCTTGAGCCAGAGGCAGAAGACTGGGATTCTTCGAGCGCAGATGTTGAGCTGGTACTATTGCTTTGATCTTTGTCATCTGCTGCTAGCTCCAGATCAGCGACCGGACTGCACAAAGCAGCGTCCAGCAGAGCAGATAGAACTTCGCGAGCTGTTTGCTCTGTCTGCTCCGGTTCGTGGCAGATGGCAGCTACGAGCGACGAGTCCAGCCCTGCAGGTACGTAGATAGGCTGCGAGTGCGAGTGGAAAGGCGTATGGATATCAGCAAAGCAGGCTCGAGCTAGACTACATGCACTGCGAGCTCGCTTCTAGACCTTCAGATCTCACCTCAAGCTTGGCTTGGATGTCTGCCATGTTGAAGCGTGTCTGAGTAACCGAGGATGGCTGTGACGGGCATCGAGGGCCGATTGCCGAACAAGAGCTGCCAGGCGGCAGGAGCTCGAGATGCAAACTGAGATTTTAGCTCGAAGGTCCAAAGATGTGCCCTTAGCTACTGCGGAGAGAGATATTGCAATCCGATGGGGGAGTCACGATTGGCGTAAAGTCTGCAATGCTATGCGGAGAGCTTCAGTGATGGTTGAAGCGGTCCAAGAGCATTCACGATGGCGTCTTTGGATACCTGTCCATCCTGCTGCAGAACCTCACGTAAGCCGTCGAGGAAAAATGGCACGCTGCTGCTGATGGCCTGCATCATCCAAAGCTCCCCCATGCAGCAGCAGCAGACGCGCAATTTTGGGTGGAGGTGGTGCCTGCCTGCATCGCACTCTTGACTCGTGACTCAAGAATGATCACGTGAATATGGATTTGTGAGTATAATTGAATCAAAATCACCAGATCAACTGAATGATAATAATCGTGAGTTGTGATACCGAATAGCAAATCACCAATGCAGCGTGAGTAGGCGTGCAGCCTCGGCCAAAAAGGAACACCTCGTTCTTACTCTCCGCCCCTTTACCTACTCATACACAATGCCTCACTCAAGCCGCTGTCTCATCAAGAGACCTCGCTCAGGGCAAGACTCTCTGATGGGCAGCTCCGTAAGTTTGGCTCTGTGCCGAGCCGAGCCCTGCCGTGCGTCGCGGCTTCGGCCTTTGACCACTATGCAGGGCAATACGCTGCAAAGAAGTTTCCGCCATCGGAGCAAAACAAGCAAATATCTTCCTAGAGCGGAGACTCGGGCTAGCCCAAGGCATGCCCTCTACGACTGCACGCACAATTCTTGCGTCTATATTGCATCGATGCAAGCTCAATGAGCTACCGCAGGCTCCGCCAATGCCTTCATGCTTCATCGTGACCCGCCTCGTCTTCAGCTCGATTCTTGCGAGGAAAGTTGCGTGCATATTGCGGCCAGCAGGCCTCTAGCGGATTTCCTGCCCAACGTCTGATTGTAGCGACGACGCTTATCTATCTTGTTCCCACGCTTGCGGAGCCTCGCTGTATCCTCATACAACGAGCGCATCGGAAGAGCAGATTGGACAATCGATTCAAGCTTAGCTCGCTTCATTTGCATCCATCGCTGAGCATGGGGACATTCGAGGCTGCCGTCCCCTCTTCGAGTCTTCGGACACCGCACTTCGTCTCTTACAGCTGGGTCAAAGGACGCGAGTAAGGATGAATCAGGTATCTCTACACATCAAAAAACACCGCAGCCGATGCTTGGCCACGGTCGGTGACCATCACTATCTCCTGATCATCTGCTGTGCCAGCGAGGAGAGCATCCCATGTGAGTGTCCACGGCGCCGATGGTGAACTCGTGTGTTGACTTACAGCTGTTCGCCCGCTGAGAAAAACGACTCTTACCTGACAGTTGCGCGTATTACAGCAGGTGCCAGCTGATGTGACCTGACCGCACTTCGCACCTCGTCGTCTTGGTCATGGTTCTAGCTCGTATGCTTAGTTGATGCACGCAATGTTACCTTTTAATCTTTCAGCTAAGACCAGATCCTGATGATTACAGCCGCCCGCTCTGCTTGAAAGCCTGGGTCACAGTACGGAGTCAAGAGATGTATTCGGCGTACAAGCGAAGGAGGTTGTAGGCTGACGCCGCGATCGTACTTTGTGGAAGACAAACGGGAGTGTGAGAGGGAGGCTGAGGGGGAGAAGAACTTTTAGACCAGCGGGGAGCTGTGTCTTACGAAGTCATTGTGGCTGATAGGAGGCCTCGGGATGACAAAGAGACTGCCACAAGAGGCGATGCAGCCCCGAAGGTTGAGTACCTCGTGACTGGCGCAGCAAGAGGTGCTTCTACAGTGAGGCTTCGACGAAGATCAAGATGCCCAGGCCAAGCATCTTGAAGCAGGTCTTGTCCAGACAGCAGCGTTGGCAAGACTGGCAAATGTTTGTAACGGCGAAGAGTGGCCAAGCCAATTGTGAGCAGAGGTGCAAAACCGCTGCGCGCACAACCCTCGATATGCTACTCACTCTGATCTCTACGACGTCTGCGTGGGCTGACTTCCTTGCATCAAGCCACGTACAAGCACTCGCACTTGATCAAAGGGACGGAGTTCTGCTTGCAAATCCGTGCGAGCTTTTACCAGCCCGTGAGCAAACTTGCGCGTTTCACCGGTAAGCTCATGGTAGTCATCGTCCGTTGCCTCCAGGTAAGCCTCAGATGGTTGACCGTCGACAGGAGGGTGAGCTTCGTGCTCAGCGTGCATTCTTGCTTTGATTGGCTGTGCCACCTCCTCGTGCTCAGCATGCAGCGCGTCCACTTTTTGTGCCACCGCTTTCTTCATGGAGGAGTAGAAGATGGAGACAATCTCCATCGCGCGCAGGGGGTGTCGGCAGCAGCGGCCAGCAAGTCTGGCGTGTCCCTCATTGGTTTGAAGCAGAACATCTAGGCTTTCATTGAGCTCTGCCTGTTGAATTCTGTCCGCTCCATGGTCCGCGCAGCTGCTGCTAAGCTCCTCAAGGTGGTCATGATGTCCATCAAGAATGCTTTGAATCATCCGCTCATTCATCTCTGCAAGCAGAAGGGATGTGGCCTCAAATTCGTGACAAGAAAATCTTTGAAGCTTGACCAGCCCTTCACTTATGTGACAAACTTGTGCGGCAAGCAAAGCAATGCTCTCTTCTTGTAGCAAAGTCACTTGTTCCTGAAGGTTGTTGACCTCAGACTCAATCTGCTGCTCCTCCGCCTCCCCTGACATCTCCATGACTAGAGAAGCCTCAGCCTGTCTGCCTTCCAGTATCAGAATCTTTTGCTTCAGTTGGTCAAGTTCCTTGGTCTTGCCTTCATTGTCCTTGCTAGCTTTTGCCAACTGCGACTCAAGGCTTTCGACCCTGCTTGCCAGAGCATTGAGATTGGCACCCGTGCTGCCGGATCCTTCTTTGGTGCTCTCAAGGTCCGCAATCTTCTGTTGAAGGACCTTGACCTGCTCTTGCAGCATGTTGAAACGTTGTTCGTCGGCGTCCAGGAGGCGCTGAGGGGATACGTGAGTACCGCGGCCGAAGAGAAACGTGCTGGTGTGACAAGGATTTGGTTTGGTAAGCAAGGCTACGTAAGATGGCTCGAATGTCGAAGGGACGCGGGGCCGACTTCGTGAAATCTCGACTCGATGAGGCCGCCCTCCGAAAAGCACTCACAATGCATTGGCAAGAACAAAGAACAGGATGGCACAGACGAAGGGCAGGTCGACTTCCATCTTGTCGAAGTTCAAGGTGGGATTCGATACGAGTTGATGAACTTTGAAGCGTGCCGTAGGAGTGGAAGCAGCGTGGATCTTGCGTCGGCGCAGAAATTTCAAAGAAGACGTGATGGTGGGAAGCCAGCATGCGGCCGTCCGTGTTGGCTCTTATAGATTTGTGCATTTGGCGATTTCCCACTCAAGCAGGTGTAAGCGTGGTTTCAGAGCAGGCATGCCAGAGGCTCGCATGCCAACGGTTTGCCGGTGCTCGTGTACTCATGACTCTCGCAACGTGTACCTACCCTATGCCGGTAGGCGCGACCGTTGAGCTGCAGGGGGTGGGGTACATGCGCGCTCAGCGCAATGCACGCTCGCGCTGTCGAATCTGCAAGCAAGTCCGAACACCATCTCAAAGCGCGGCAAAAGTCACCGCCTCAATCGCCCGAGATGATCGAGACTCACGCTTCTCCTCCTGACTCACAGTATCCTTGACTCGTGACTCTTCTTGTGCTGCGCATGCTGCTTCAGCTGTCACGAAGCATTCATTGATTTCGAGTGAGGACACGCCGGTCCGGCAGGCTCAGCTAGAGTACCTGACACGCAGCTCGTGACTGCTGCTGGCCGTTGCTCGACGTGACTTGACTGGTTGCTGTATCGAGGTGAGTGGTGATCGAGCCATTGAGTGCCCGACACCGGTAAGTGACGTGAGATGCGCAGCACATGCATTCAAGATTGAGCCTGCGCCCTTTTGCGAGCAAGGCATCTCGCACATGCACCTCGCCAGTCACGAATGGTGTATGGTGTGCTACGAATCAAGAATGCATTTCTGCAAGTTTTGCACTTCGTGGTCTTGTGTCACGCGAGACTTAGCAAGCAAACAGAGCGCTGTAAGTCTTTAGAGGGATAGAAGAAGCAGAGAGGGGTCACTTCACTTTAGCCCACCAGATGTGAGACATGCAATCGTGAATTATCACGAGTGATCTGTGACAAAGACTGTGTAAATCCTGTCTGTTGCCTGTCCACGTGATCATCAACGCTCGATCATTATTGATCTCTGTGGCAATCTTGATTTCGATCGCACGTCTTGATCAAAGGAGGCAGAGTTTGTGTACCGGCAAGCTCTACCAAATGAAATGCAATCGAAAGCCGAGCCGTCATTTGTCTTGTGTGCTGCTGAAATGCAAGTTTGAGTGTGGAATGCAAATGAAAGATGCCAGATTGATTGAATGTGTGCGTGTCTGCCTCTGCGTTCAGAATACAAATTTACATCCGTGAAACAAGATTTAAGATTCTTGGTCCAAAATTCAAGATTCTTGTTTTTGATTCAAAATTGTTTCGTTGCGTTTCGTGAGGCTGACGGATGAGGTTGGCACAGAAACCTTTTGCACACGTAGCGTGGCAGTCTTCGACCATACCTCTCATGCAAATGCACAAGCAATTCCTCGGAGCAAATACATGTGGGCCCCGCACAGTTTTTGATATCGCCAAGCACCATTTCATCGTAAAGATGTTTCGCCTCGATGGCGAATGGCAGGCACGTGTCTTGCTGACCATTAGGCTGGCGTATCAGTCATTTGAGAGGTCTTCGGCTGTGCCCCTGGACGATGTGCTACTCGATCAAGGTAAACTCTCTTTTGGCTGACCAAGGGCGTCTCGAAACCCTCGAGCCGTCCCAATGACGCGGCTCTGGGGACATTCCCAAAACCTTCAGCGCCTCCATCCGGTCGATACTCCAAGGCGATAGAGCCTTACGCTCGTCGAGGAGCCTAATCGGAGAGCTACAAGCCGCAGCTGCCTTTTCTACAAGGTTGATGTCATCGGACCGGCTTCAAACCTGCACAGGGCTCACTGTCCAGCTTTGCACGCTCCACGTACCGATTCCCATCGAAAGACAAGAGCGCCCGCGGCCGGCACGTGGACCTGTCCACAACGACCAGCATAAAGAAGCTTTGCGACATCGAGCAGGCCGCAGGCATCGTTCAACAGGACGAAAGCAAAGCGCTCTGAACTGAGACCAGACTCGAGCCAGACACAGCTTGACTTATGAAGCAGCGCGTGATCGGGTAGCCGAAAGCACAATACTGGAAAGCTCCCGAATTCAGTCTCACTGGCGCAGAAATTCGAGTGATGCGAAGGAAGTCATTCCGCGAGACTCTGTCAGGGTTGCCTGCCGTCGAGATGTCCTTGCGCAAACTCGTTCAAGACAATTGCCAGATGCGATCGCATTGGAGTTGGCGCTCAGGTATCAATCACTCCGCCGAGACGAAGCCGACGAGCCGAATCGGCCGTGGCCGTTACAAGGACATGTACACGCAAATACTCCTACCGCAACTCGCAACAAAGTCACAACTCGCGAGCTCGAGGCTAGACCTCATCGAAGTTTCCTAAGTATCCACAAGAATGGCAGCATGTATCTGGCTGAGTCCCAGGCTCAGCGCTGACCGCGTCGCTAGAGCGCCCTCTTCGCCTGCTTCATTGCGTCAGCAGGACTCGAGGCCTTGGATGAGCGACAAGCTAAGAAGACGCCAGCAAAGACACGCTCGCTCGGTTCTCCAATCGGACTCGTGCAATTCGATGTCAGGAAATGGCCTGGAATTTTTAGCCGGTCTACGACGTTCCACATTCGGTCACGGCAACACGCAAAAGATCTGGGAATGGACCATCTTGCTAATGCAGAACACAACTTTCACTTTCGCCGCAAAAGCAACCTTGAGTTGGTACAAGCGTGATGAGCTCCTTTGCAATGAAGCGCTGGCATAGAGAACTTACATGCACCGCATATACTGAGCGGCAATTGCGGAAGACCAGGACTGCAATGAAGTAGCCATTCATGAACCTTTACCGATACCATCTGCTGCCCGTCAGCTTTGAGGGCGCACGAAGATTCCAGCATTATAGGAACAAGGCACAAGATCCAATAGACTCATTGGGACGAGAGAGCTCGCGAGCAGACGAAAGACGAGAGACCCTCTATTTGAGCGGTGCATGGCGAAACGCTGTCACGTTCGCGACCCTTTGTAAGTCGCATTGCGCGCTGAGCGAAGACTCGAACAGGATGAAGGCCCGTGTCTCCCGGTTCAATCTCTCCTTCCGTGCTACCACCAGTACCACTCTTTGCGAGCGGTCGATGGGTATACTACGAAGGGTCAAGTGAAGCCGCTCGCGGGCGAGAATGAAGACGGGATTGGATGTTGCAAATGCGTTCATGGAAAGACTGGTGTGCATTTTCGCGCTTGGATACAGATCCGACTCCTGTCGTTATGTCACGAGTGCTGAGGGTACATCGCGAGATCCAACAATTTTTTTGGGTAGGATGAATCCAGGCAAATGACAAAATCAGGCGGAGCATCATGGAGGCTTGCTTGAGCTCTGTCAATGCGCGCTAGACGCATGCCCCTGCAGCTTTATGCATAAATGACCACGCTTCCGGTCTTCCTCCGCAATTATCATCTTATCTCCTGGTATCGTGTGCTTCCCCAAGCGTTGCCAAGCATGGCCAACAAGGTTACAAAGCAACGATCTCGGGTGTCACAGACACCTGCGATGTCCCCCGTTTGTTCGCTCGTTCGCCCGTCTCAGAAAGTTCGCGGACACCACGATGATCTCACACAAGCACTGCCCCTCACAAAGACTCCCAAGTACTTATCAGGCACCAACCTCTCTCAGACAATTAGCGAGGCATCTCTTCTCGAGAACAAGGAAACAGCTTCAATGTCTGAAAGACATTGGCAAGGCTGCGTTTGTTCTTTACCGTCTGACAGGCTTTCTAATTGACAGTTGTCCCTCTACCTTTGAGGTACATACATAGAGGCCTTTTGATCTGGTTCTCTTTAAATTTGCAAAGCTCCCAACTTTCTCCTGATCTCACCTTGTCAGCCACTGGACTCAATGGGCAACAAAACAGCTGAGCATTTGTCAGTAGGGCGGTGCACAGCACTCTGAAAGAAAATTTTATATGTTCCTCTAATCCTTCCTATCAGACTATTGATGCCTGCCCCAGTGCAAAGCATTTTACAGCTTTTGAGAAAGACAGCGCTGTCACGACTGTACCCAGACTAGTACTCACAAGTCTTGCAGTGCATTCCTTACACAGACTTAGGGCTATCTACCTGTTCAACACAGCACCACTGCAGATTGCCATTCCAAGGAAGACAAATCAACTGCAGCAGCATGACCGTCATGACTGCCAAAGCTGCAGATCTCGGTGTACTTGCTCGCTATGGCTCCTGTTCGAAGCCTGCAGATAAGACTGGCACTTCTTCAGAGGCGTATGGTCCAGACTACCCTTCCCAGGAAGACCAGCATCTTAAGCAAGACCAATGTCATAGTCAACCTCAGCGAGTAGCATACAAGCGCCTTAGTCCACAGCGCTTTCACTTGTTTTGGGGACCTGCCTCTGCAACGATTTGGCACATCGGAGCTTGCTTCCTTGCCCTGCATAGAGCATTGGAGCCTGCCCCTCCATGTCTACTTCTACCCGTATAGATAGGGTTTTGACCCAATGATTGCTTTTCAACCTCTTCAGTAAACCTGCCTTGACAAGCACCAACCACCCCACCGGAGAGAACAGGTCACTTAGTTCCGCAGGGCAACATGTTCTCTCTTGCTAACATCCCTTGAGCTCATGTCAAGACTAGTCCTTCCTCTTCCAAAACGAACCTGTTTCTAGAGCCCTCCGCCTCCTCCTTCTGCTCTCCATTGAGTGGGATGGTCTTTTTACTTGCCAGAGATCCAACCTTCTCACCCAGTAGACCAGCTTTCCCTGCTTTGCAAGTCAAGTTGTCTTCTCTTTCCCACATCACTTGAGCTAACGCTGAGAGGTAAAGGGAAGTCTTTCCTCTTGCCCAGAGCTCCCTCTGTTAGAGCACTGTTCCTCCTTTCACCCTTCTCCACCTGTCAAGTTCACCTTTGGAGTCACAAGCTACATGACCTTTTGACACACCAAGCGCGCTCTCACAAGCAACAAGTCTCCTGTTTGCAAAACAACCCCACCGACACCCGTTTTTAGTCTGCCTTACACGTTGGCCGACAAGGCTATGGCGATAGAGAAGACTCACAGAAAGGCAAGAAATCTGACTGCAAGTGTGCAATGAGCACAAATTGCTTCAGCAGGACACAAAGGACTCAACTCTTGATGTGAAGCAAGGCATCATAGCTCTTCAACAGGAGGTCAACACCTCCAACAATGCCCTCGCCTCGCGCGTGGACTCGCTGGAGCAGATCCACCTCCAGAAAGATGCCGCTGCCAACAAGCGCATTGACGCCCTCAGCAAAGAGCTTCAGGATGTTTGCCAAGCTCTCCAGAGCGCATCTGAGGCAAGGACTCATTCCTTGAT